AGACCTTGCAACTTTTATGTCTCGTAATTTTCTATAAAGCAGTCACGTAAAGCTAGGTCAATGGCGTGACCTCACCATCGCAATTCAACAAGGGAAATATTAAAATTTATTTTGCTGAAAATATGATTTAAGACTATCGTTTGCACATGGAGTCGTGCTCGTGTCGCTTCACTCCTTGCAAGATCGATGCTCAACTTTTGCGTTTTGAACCATGTGCAACGTCATAAATGACGTTACATAGATATCGGTGTTTTTTGTCATTAACCCTCGCCCGCACATGCCATTTTCCCATCCTAGAACGCACATGGGGATGGGAAAATGGTGGTTGCAACCCCCCCCCCCGCGCCATTTCGTTCCTGTTGGAGATAGAGCTTAGCGGTAAAGACCAAAAAGATTCTTTGGGAAGAGACGAATCCAATGATACCCAGTTTTACCTTCTCAGGTCAGTCATTGACCTTCCAGGTCAGGTCAAACTAAAAAATGTTGCTGTTTTAGGTCACCGTTGGATATCAAGTGCGCTGCTTATCAAATACCGATGACGATGCTGTTTTCTGGTGCCAAGCCAGCTAGAACCTCTTTGTCACACTACCCGACCAGAATTTTACTGCTGAGGTCATTTCAGGTCAAGTTAGGTCAAGGTCAATTATATGTGTTTGTATGTCTGTGTGTGTCTGTGTGTATACTGATGTGTGCACCGATTGTTTTTGGGTCCATATTACATGAAATCATGATCTGAGAAGCTTTTACCAAAAATGCAGTCAAAAAACTTCACTAAAAGTAAATTCAGCTTGCCTAAAACGCAATTATCTTAGATGACCTAGGTTGACCTTGACCCTGACCTTGACCCCTGTACATCGTCGAACAACATGTTCCATGATAGGTGGGAGGTAAGACTGGCAAAAAAGGCCGAAATCAGGGTGTCAAAAGCTCACAAGGCCCATGGCAAACGCAAGATGTTGAGAATTGGCCATTTGGGTCATGACATGACCTGAAAAACAAGGTCATATCTCCGAAACCAAAAATCACAGAAACTTGAAATTTTCAGTGGACATCAAGAAAGAATAGAGGAGCAGCTATACGAAAAATCAGCCCTATAGCTCTAAAAATGTTGAGTGCAGAGCAGAAAGACTACCTGGGGGGGGGGGGTGGCAACCACCCCCCCCATGTGCGGGCGAGGGTTAACTACTGTTCCAACTGAAATACAGGGTGGCTATATATTAAACCGCGAGTAGGCAGAACAAATCTTTTAAACGTCGAGCCGTTAGGCGAGACGTTTAAATGATTTTTCTACCTACGAGCGGTTTAATAATTCTATTCCCTACCGCCGATATCTTTCGAGCGCTTAATAATAAGGAATACATTTTATAGGTATAAAAATACAACAGATTTCATACTAGACGAAATGTCTACTAGACGTTTAACAGTTTATTAATCGCCTAGACGTTTTACAAACCAATACACAATATTACACAATATACACAAAGTTACACAATATCTGATAATTTTCTCTCTTTGCACGTGAAGCAATTGTAAACACTGTCTATGGTGCGGGATAAACGCATTTAAACATCCACGCGCTATCCTCTAAATTACAGGGTGATCAATAAAAGATGACATAAAGTGAGCCCCCGCCAGAGGCGTAAGACAATGTATTGCATAAACAGCTTACCTACCGTTGGAATGATAAATCTTAGACATTTTACATCGCACAAACAGAAATCAGTTGTGACACTGGCCTTGGATGTGTTCAGTGGCCGTATTCACAATCACGGGTTAAGGGTAGGGTAGGAGTAACGGGTAACGGGTTATTTTTGTGGTCATATTCACAATCGAAGTTTACTCCTGATGGTCGCCCGGCGCCACGCAGACGGCACCTGGCCTGCGTGGTGCCGTCTGCGTATGATGATGACGAGATGTCAATCGAATACCAACGTTTTGGCATACCGATACCAAACCGATACAAACTTGGTATTTGGCGTTTCGAGGCTAAAACATTTGGTATTTTGTTGGTGTTGTGAATACTCGCTAATGTAAAAGAGACTGTGACTTTGGTAAAAAGTTGGCATTTCCCTGATATTCCCAAGTCGGTTCGGCTTCGGTATTTTCCCACGGTTCCTGTTGGTATTTGGTTTGGTATCGGTATCACGACTTTCTGTAATTGACAGCACTAGTCCATATGTTTAAAAAAATGCCTTCCCAGGTTTCTATCCATTGCGAACGTGAATACTGGACACATTACTGAAGAATTGCTAGACTCTCTTCACCTTCGAGCAACTGAACAAGATCCAGCACCCCTGGTCACTCTGCAGTCTGGATTTTTCGTGCTTGGACCTCACCGTTTAACCTTAAGCAACTCAAGTTGCGGAGCGAACTCAAGAGTCCAAGACCCTTGATGAACTGAACGCTGCCGTGAGTCGTCGAAGGCTTCGTCTGCACGATAGCCGGCGATCATTTGGGGGCTGGGGCTCCAGCGGGGGCTTACTTTATGTCATTCACTAATGAACACCCTGCACTAGTGCACGTGACCTGACCTCAGAGGTCACATGTTCATCTGACACTTTTAACATGATTGTGAATCGCTGGGTGTTGTTTTTGTTTGCAAGGCTTTTAGCTTAATTATGGGCGAAACGGCGTCGAGGGTCCAGCACCCCCCCCCCCCCCACACACACACTCTAGACCCCTCTCGGTATTCAGAAAGTCGATAGGTCCGAGTCCGACGAGGAATAACGGATACAACGACAACGAGACACGTGCACTCTTGAAATATGTTTGTTCAGTGTGGATTTGATTTTTGAGAACGTTTCCTTGTCTTGTCTATAAGCTGAAATTCGCCAATCAGTCTTATGCATTACCTAGCTGCATCGTTTCGAGTCCCATCAGTGGGAATGGCTTCTACACTCTACACTATTAGTGCTTTCTAGGAATGATATCACGTTCGATAGAAGCATAAAGCGAACACATAACGAACGGGGCGAGATTAACATATTGTTTAATGGTTAACCCTACCGAAGGTTTAACAGTGCAGTTATTGAAATGAACTGTTCAACAGTTGTTCAGCGCAATAAATGAGATTATACGAAACAGTAGGAAATTAATAGTTATGAAGGTTGAAATATGCAACCGTTAAGATAATGATATAAACAGCGACGTTGGCGGCGGTATGCCGATCATGACAACATTATAATTGCTACGTCTTAAACAAATTGCCACGTATTGCAGCCTAAGTTGAAACTGCAATGAATGATGCGTGAGCTATATGGCCCGGCATAAGTTTTATCCTCTAAAAAAAGGTTCTCTCTAAGTTGCTACATAGGGGACAGCGATTCTCTTGCGTTCAGTTTATTCCCCACGAACAGGGATTTACATTACGAACGCAAATTTGCATGCTGGTAACTAGGTTGTGCAGTAAATACGGCTGGATTTTTTTATCATGCCCGTTTGAGCTGTAACGACAAGGCGCCGAGGCTAGCAGCCGGCTTCTGTTTGTCCAGGTCCTGCTGGACGATAGCCCGAAGTTCGTCGATCAGGATGAGGTCTGGATGGCAGCCGGCTAGCATGTCTTTCCTTCAGAAGAGCACGTTCAATTCGCACCACCGCTAGGCCTTGGCAGAGCGATGAGCTGGCGCGCCGTCCTGATTGAAAATGCATGTCAACATGTCATTGACCATGCGTTGGCCTAGCATTGGGCCGAAGGTAGGTAATGAGCCTCGGAGAGCTCTTCCAATAGCGTCTCACGGTCCTGTTTGGAGATGTGATAGCGCTTCAGCGCGAGCCGTTTGGCCAATTTTGTCGCGAACTATTGGCCCCTCTTCCCGGCCGCCTTTTTCAATGCGATTTCTGTAACGTTTTAAAGGAAGACTGCCACCTTCAAAAAGTTTTCTCAGATCGGCCCATGATTTTTTCCCTGGATAAAACGAAATTTTAGAATTCACCTGGCAAGCTATCATCACGTGAATCGCGTAAAAAAATTATCGATTATCATAAATTATCAATCGGATAATGTCTAGCGACAATGTTGACACATCACTAGACTTCAAGGTCATAAGATATGGAAGCGGGTTTTGTCGCCATAAACGGCGCGCATGTTACAATTGAAATATACAATGATCCTTGCTTTGGTTATGTATGTCGTGTTTACGCTTTTGGAATTGCCTGTTTTAATGAGTTATGTTATCTATATCTTAAAATATTCCAATTCTGATTCATCTGATAGGTATATATATACATGTATTTTGGCATGTGATATTAAAAGCTAGACTATTTCCAGGTTTATATGAATAGTGATAGACTAAGTTGAGACAAGTGCTATTTGAATAACAAATACCTATGGTATTGGAAAAATTGTCATGAATCTGATAGTGTTTCCATTCCAGCACCAATTTCCCAGTCTTCAAAGTGTGGCAGGGAGCTCAATCCGTGACAAGATGTTTGGGACAGCTTAAGGATTTCGCCAGAATCCCCACAATCCTTAAGGATCCATAAGGACCCATAAGGATCAGATATGAAATCCTTAAGGACTCTACGGACCCTCTTGAATCCTTAAGGACGCATTCGCCGATCCGTAAGGATTTTAGGGCGATGTTTGGTATCCTTAAGGATCGCTCAGTATTCCGTAAGGAAATTGCTACTTGCTAGTGTCGCTTAATCTTTCAGGATAGCCGATGCAGCCAGTACGTCAATCATTATGGAGTGATTGAATCATCCCTACTATTATTCCGTGCTCCGTATCCGATAATTTCTTAGCCATATGACATATACGGCATGTAAAAACTTTGTGACGGACCAAAGCAGCGTTCGCTATCAGCATAGGCGCGGGAACCGGGAGGCGAGGGGGGCAGTGGGAGCAGCTTGCCCCCACTTTTGTGCTGAACTTTGAAATTAAATATTTTCGATTTATGGCATTTCTCGATATTGCGAGTGCCAAACCGGTGATTGTGAGCCAGGGATAACAATTTGGCTATCTTAACTCAGAATTACTATTCAGCTAGGATGGTCACCTAAATGTCCACGCTGGGTTCACCCAGACTCCAAATCGGATAGACGAATAGTTCTGATAAAAAGTACCTATTGGTATCTCAACCAAGTGCCACAGTATGCATGTATCGTATGGCCTTAGTGCCACCGGTGCCACAGTGTTTGCGCTGTGCTCTTTCAGAGACCGTACCGACTGGAATTTAGCGACCGCTGACCGTTTTAAAGACTGTACGGGCGGCAGCGGGCGGTCTGATCCTCGCCTCCGGCAAGAGGGGAGACCGCGCGTCCCCCTGTCGCATTGTGCCGCTGCCGCTCGCGGGATGCGGACGAGTCTGTTGAGTGTGTTGTGCCGTCTGCCGTCTCCTCTTCGGGCCATGTAAGTCTCTGCCATGCTGTGTATCAATGAGATAATTGATCCTAGTTATTGCATTGATAGATACAAAAACCGGCGCTGAAACGTTCACTTCAATTAGTGGCGATCGTCGTCGTCATTCATTTGGCTGCGGCAAATGAAAGTACTACCGGTAGCGTCTTTTAGCGTCATGCCTTGGAACGAGGCCCAGGTAAATATGTATAATAGAATGGATTCAGGGTAGTAGGACGTAGGTGCATATGTGATGCATTGCTAAATGAACATACACAGGCATCTAAGCTGGAAATGACTGAACTGAATTTACTCAAAGGCTCACCAATATTCTTTGGCTGGGACTGCAGTCTAAGCCTAAGAGTAGAATTCGTGAGCCTTTGAGTAGGTATTGTTGATCAGTATATTACTGTTATTACATAGGAATATCCGCCTTGTTACAGGAACGCAGGATGCAAGACTGGACAGGCGACGGGCGACTCAACCACTCAAGATGTGTAGAATGTGGATGGCGGAGGAGCGGCGGCCGAGGACGTGTGATGATAATATCTGAAGCGTGGCTGACTCGAAAAAGTGTAGACTTATCTTCATGTAAATATGTTTTTCGGAAGTCCTCGGCTCATATTTCTTGGAGCCTCAGCTGCAACCTGCGAATGCCTAGAGCTCCATATATGTATACCCGGTCGCCTGTGGTTGGCGGCTGCTCCATTCCTGGCAATGAAAAATGGCTAAATGTGCTTGTTTTAACCCGGCACCGCCTGGGCTATTTCCGTACCCACATCAGCCTGGGGGGGGGGGGTCGGATCCGACCCCCCCCTGTTATCTCGAGAACCAATGGTCGTATCGAGCCCCGCGAGGCGGCGTTCGAAAGGTCTCTACGAGACCTTCCCAAAGCACTCTTAAGATTTTAAGATTGAGGTCAACTTTCGGATCAAGGTCAGGTCAAAGGTCAAATTCAGGGGTTTTGCATGATTAGGCTTACGGACAGCGGAATCGATAGCTGCTGCTCGAAACTCACCACAAATGACCTCAAAGACCTAGTGAAGGTACCATGTGCGTATAGGGGTCATACTAAGTACGGGTCAAGGTCAGCTCAGGTCAGGAAAGGTCACGGTTTTCACTTTCTGCTACATGGGCGTGCGACACATGTTTTATGGCTTATTTTTCACGCCAAATCCGATGGTAATGGTTATATGTGACCCCAAGTCACTGTGCTGGTGATAAGTGTGCATTGAAAGCATAAAAAATCGTTTATACCATCCATAACTAAACGAGGGCTAAGAAAAAAAGTCAATTTTTCAACTTTTTATTTTTGACATAAAAATGCACTTTTCTAGACCAGCTTTGTCCCAGGAATCTAGTGGTGCCATTTGTTTTCACATGCGATGTTCAGAAGTGCCTCTAATTCGCGAAAATGCTTATGACGTCACCATGCCCTATGCATGTTGGAGCTATTTTTTACAATTTGGGGGTCAAAAATCAAGATAGAAAGTTGAAATTTGGGACATCTAATTTTCTAATAGAGCTCTATAACATATATTCCGGTTTTTTGGAAATTCTCAAAATTTTGGATTTTATTAGCTGTTTTCCAAAAAAAATAGTTTTTTAATTTTTAGGGGTGAAAAACGCATTTTATGGAAAATCCGAGATAGACATTTTAAAGAACTCGTTGAGCTGCGTCCTTTCATGTCCTTAATTTGCAATTTGCTTAAAACCTCGATTTTTGGCGATTTTTTAAACATTTACCATTTTTTGACTGAAAACGCCATGTAGTTACATCACTAAAATCGATATATCTCAAAATTTGTTGAAAATTTTTTCTTAAAAATTGCACAGAAGACGTCAAATTGATGGGGGAGAAGGTATGCGAAGTTTCAAGTTGATAGCGCAAGCGGTTCATGAGTTATTCAAGAAAAACGGAGGGGGGGGGTCGGATCCGACCCCCCCCCAGGCGGTCGCGGGTTAAGTAAAAAATATAGCACCAGAGACCGTACAAATGTGTTTGCTAGGGTTTGATCCTTACGGATTTATATATCGTTCATTAAGGAAGAGCCTCAAAATCCTTGAGGATTGTCGCCAAGATCCTTAAAGATTTTGCTACAAATCTTTAAGGAAAAGTCACAAAGTCCTTAAAGATTATTACCAATGTCCTTAAAGACATTGCTAGAGATCCTTGGGTGCGGCTAATTGTGGGCTACGCTTTTGCGAAACTGCCAAGTTTGGCAGCCCAACTCGACCAAAGCGAAATACGCCTAGAACCATCCTGGTAACCTGTCAGACCGACTCAGAACGACTCAAACTGACTCAGACCGACTCAACCGACTCAAATCGATTCTGATCGACTCAGACAGACTCAGAACGACTCAGGCAGACTCAAACCGACTCAGGCAGACTCAAACTGACTCGACCGACTCAAACCGATTCAGATCGACTCAGACCGACTCAACCGACTCAAATCGATGCCGATCGACTCAGACATACTCAGAACGACTCAGACAGACTCAGGCAGACTCAAACAGACTCAGGCAGGCTCAAACCGACTCAGGCAGACTCGACCGATTCCGATCGGCTCAGACCGACTCAGATTGACTCAGAACGACTCAAACTGACTCAGACCGACTCAAGCGACTCAAATCGATTCCGATCGACTCAGACAGACTCAGAATGACTCAGACAGTCTGTGAGTCTGTCTGAGTCAATCGGAATCGATTTGAGTCGGTTGATTCGGTCGGAGTCAGTTTGAGAGTCGTTTTGAGTCTATCTGAGTCGGTCTGAGTCGATCTGAATCGGTTTGAGTCGGTCGAGTCAGTTTGAGCCTGCCTGAGTCGGTTTGAGTCTGCCTGAGTCCGCCTGAGTCTGTCTGAGTCGATCGGAATCGATTTGAGTCGGTTGAGTCGGTCAGAACGACTCAGACCGACTCAACCGACTCAAATCAATTCCGATCGACTCAGACAGACTCAGAACGACTCAGACAGACTCAGGCAGACTCAAACCGACTCAGGCAGACTCAAACCGACTCAGGCAGACTCAGAATGACTCGACCGACTCAAACAGATTCAGATCGACTCAGACCGACTCAGTCTGACTCAGACCGACTCAACCGACTCAAATCGATTCCGATCGACTCAGACAGACTCAGAACGACTCAGACAGTCTGTGAGTCCGTCTGAGTCGATCGGAATCGATTTGAGTCGGTTGATTCGGTCTGAGTCAGTTTGAGAGTCGTTCTGAGTCTATCTGAGTCGGTCTGAGTCGATGAAGTCAGTTTGAGTCTGCCTGAGTCGGTTTGAGTCTGTCTGAGTCCGCCTGAGTCTGCCTGAGTCCGCCTGAGTCTGTCTGAGTCGATCGGAATCGATTTGAGTCGGTTGGGTCGGTCTGCGTCAGTTTAAGTCCTTCTGAGTCTACCTGAGTCGGTCTGAGTCGATCTGAATCGGTTTAAGTCGGTCGAGTCAGTTTGAGTCTGCCTGAGTCGTTCCGAGTTTGTCTGAGTCGATTGGAATCGAATTGAGTCGATTGAGTCTGTCTGAGTCAGTTTGAGTCGTTCTGAGTCTATCTGAGTCTGTCTGAGTCGATCTGAATCGGTTTGAGTCGGTCGAGTCGGTCTGAGTCTGCCTGAGTCGGTTTGAGTCTATCTGAGTCTGTCTGAGTCATTCTCAGTCTGTCTGAGTCGATCGGAATCGATTTGAGTTGGTTGAGTCAGTCTGAGTCAGTTTGAGTCGTTCTGAGTCTATCTGAGTCGGTCCAAGTCGATCTGAATCGGATTGAGTCGGTCGAATCAGTTTGAGTCTGCCTGAGTCGGTTTTAGTCTGCCTGAGTCGTTCTGAGTCTGTCTGAGTCGATCGGAATCGATTTGAGTTGGTTGAGTCGGTCTGAGTCAGTTTGAATCGTTCTGAGTCTATCTGAGTCGATCTGAATCGGTTTGAGTTGGTCGAGTCAGTTTGAGTCTGCTGAGTCGGTTTGAGTCTGCCTGAGTCGTTCTGAGTCTACCTGAGTCGATAGGAATCGATTTGAGTCGGTTGAGTCGGTCTAAGTCAGTTTGAGTGGTTTCTGAGTCTATCTGAGTCGGTCTGAGTTGGTACGTTATCTTCTCCTACCCAGTGACGTCACAGCATGCGTCGGCTTGGCACGGCGGCCACAGGTGGGGTGCGGCTAATGGTGGTATCTCGCTTTGGTCGAGTTGGGCTGCAACTTGGCGGTTTCGCAAAAGCGTAGCCCACAATTAGCCGCACCCGAGATCCTTAAGGATTTAGCTAAAAATCCTTACGGATTTTCCGCAGAATCCTTAAGGAATTTCTAACAAAATCCTTAAGGATTGTGTATCAATTTCGTACAAGGATTTTGTTAAGGATCGTCCTTAAGAAATACATAGGACTGTCCTTAAGGATTTTTTCACTAGGGGAGGGCCCCTCATGAATATGATGAAAATGATATAATGATGAAGTGCATCATTTAATAAGTATGAGAAGCGAAATGAATCAATGCTGTGACAAGCTTTCAACTTCTGCCCCAGATTTCCTTGCTTCTGCCCCAAAATTCCTCAAACCTGCCACAACCTGTGGTGTGTGCCCTGACAACATATTGTCAAGACCTGCCACGTTTTGCAGACTGGCCCACTCTGGTAGGTAGGCGCACTCTGCAAACTGGAATGATCAGCGACACTGCCAGCAGCCGTATGCTTATCCCACCAACACCGGGCTGTGCAGATAGTTCGTCTATAATTAAGACTTGCAAACAAAAACAACAGGCAGATGTCCCAACCAATCAGCAATGACACGCTGTGTCATTTCGGCCTGGAGCATGCCGACTGTCTGGTTCAGCTCCCTTGATAGAAATGTCAGACCTTCATGTAGCGACGCAGCCTTTCAGGTGGACAATCTCTGTGAAAATGGCCGTAGCTCGGTGATCCGTGACCCGAGGTCCGTTCGTCACCTCATGTTCTGCCGCCAAGGACCGTGCAATGCAGGAGTGCAGCCTGAACCGTCATCCCTCAGGTGTAGACACGATTAGGAACCGGAAAGTGTTGTCATGGGTAGTGGACATAACTTTTGCCGAGCCATGTAGTGTCGTCCTGTAGCGTCTTTCATTGTCAGCGAGACGCTACATGGAGTTAAAATGGCGAGCGGCTCTCCCGCCGGAATGGTAAGCGCCCTTCTCTGTCAAACGCGGCGCTAGTTTCCGCCTAAGCTCCGCTGGCCCGCTCAACTGCTATGTCATGCGGCACAGTCTACAAGTACAGGTGACCGGTCGCGAGATCGGAGCTCCGTAGCACCGAGCGAGTGTGGCGAAGGTGGGGGTATTCACCGCATCAAACCTACAGGTCGCCTGGACCCTTATCTTGAGACCAAAAGTACATCAGCTTGACAATACGTCACACATATTTTGTAGGCCCATTCCTTCTTCTCCGAATTTCGCCCGATTTTCTACATCTTAGTTTATGTTACGGCACGTGTCACGTGCCAACTTAGGGGTGTCGAAATCGTTGCACATAAAATAACTCCGCAATGGCTGGGCCCATTACGGTAAAACTTCGTCAATAGTTAGGCACCCAGCGGACAATGCATTTCCGTGTGTCACCATGGGGGTGCTACTGCACGTGCGCACGTGCGGGGTGCCACTTCCATATCTCAAGAACGGCTGGGCGGATAACACTCAAACTTGGTACACAAATGTCACATCGATGCTCGCACTGCATTGATCAGTAGTTACATTGGTGAGTCGTTACGAAAACGATGAAATGAGGTGCGTGG